GGCTGAAGCAAGAGCCGTACCGTATTCTAGTACGCCGGCCGGCCGCCGCAGCGCGGCGGTCAGATGAGAGTCAACTAACGTGCCGAGCGCGCCTACCTGCGGCCCGGGGGGCGCACCCCGCCCGCCGGCCGAACCGGCTCAGCTTAGCTCGGGCAGGCCAGTACTTTCCCACCGCAGCGCAGCAGGAGGAGGTGGGCTAGCCCAGGCCCGGCCCAGGCTAGCCCCGCGCGCTGGGCGTTTGTCGCTAGAACACGTCTCGAGCGGTTTATTTACGAGGCTTATTGCATTTTAGTTGTGCCTTACTAGCGTCAGGATGTAATTTACTATTCTTGAATTGATGAAGTTGAATGATCTGTTGGTTTCAGTAAGTAAAATCGGCAATATTACAGTATATGATGTGGGGAGATGAAGGGCCCGGTTTTGTTCTACCCATATCACAACTCTGCACTACTACACATGGCCGATCTTTTTAGCACCACCGCGTTTTCATCGTTTGCATGCTTTGGACCGACAATCCTCATACAACTTGCTGCGCCCGCCCGCTTTGAAATGCGCGCCCGGGCGGGCCCCTCAATTCGCTCCCAAATGCTTGACCTGCCCGAGCTAAGCTGAGCCGGTGCGGCCGGCGGGCGGGGTGCGCCCCCCGGGCCGCAGGTAGGCGCGCTCGGCACGTTAGTTGACTCTCGTCTGACCGACGCGCGGTGCGGCGGCCGGCCGGCGTACTAGAATACGGTACGGCTCTTGCTTCAGCGCAGGTAGGCTCGTGCCGCCACCGTATCTCTCTACACCGTGACTGACAGTGTCCTGGACGCCACTCTGGCCCAGACCCGCGGCCAGCAGATGTCAGTACGTGCGGCCTCCACCCTCGGCCTGGTGCTGTTGTTGTCCAGGGCGTCTCCGTACAAGGCGTACTAGACCACTGGGACTGGTTGGGAGGGATGCTCGACTGTCCCCGTGTGACTCGACAGCCGGGTGCCGGGTGACCGTAGTCGACCCGACCGGCCGGGCTTGGGGATTATGTGACCCGGCAGGTACACGGCATACCACGCGCCACGCCGCGGCCCTCAAAGCATTAATTTCAAATTCCCGTTGGTAATACCCATTTTAATTGTTTGAAGAACATACGAAGATGAGTATAGTTCTAACTGACTAATAATTTACTGCCTCCTTAACATATTCTGTTGGCTACCCATCTCCAGCCTGTCGACGTTGGGAGGAGGCAGGACCTCGGCCCGGGGCCCAGGGCCAGCCCCACGCCGGGATTTCCGCCCTGCTGTTTTGGCGTTAGGAAATTCACGGATCACTAATCTCACGCCGCCACTAACAGGGCTCGTGTAAGTGTCGGGTCAGTTCCTAGGCACTACCGGAGTCCTCTCCTTGATTTTTACTCAAACCCGAGCCCAATAATCGAATGCACAGATCTAGAATTTACTGTGTTAATCTGTAAATGTTAGCTTAAAAAATCTTTCGAACAGGACGTGCAAACACGCAACCGTATGCTGGGTCTGAGAAAGCATTACTTTCTGTTATACAGATCAATTCAGTATTTTTACAGAAATTTACTGGAAGTGAATTGTACAGGCTCTAGTGATTCTTCATGTTCTCTGTAATATTTCAGAAGATATGTCGTACTATTACAGCCATTTGTAAAATTACCACACATTTTGGGGGAAATTACAGGGTTTCGGTAATTTTACTAATACTTTTCTGTAAAATTACCAAACTTGTAAATTTACAGAAAACATTTAGTAAATTTAAAATACTCTGTAAAATTACCATAATATTTCTGTACCAGATTACAGGTACACTCTTGTAAAGTTACAATTTTTTTTAACTGTGATTCATTATGAGGATGATACTGGTTTGAAATCCTCCGTTGCCTCTCCATTTGAAGAATTTGTCTTTGTTTCTTAAAAAGTTGCCTTGAGACTTACATCTATATCACACCATTTTTGTGAATGTATCGCTCACGCATTTACATGCTGTTCTGTTAAAGTTTGCATTTAGTTTATCTATTTAATAGGGTACTGGTCTAGAGCGCTGAGCGGAAGTAGAAGAACAAAAACGGAAGATGAAAAGGCGCCCGCACTCCTCCCCGCCTGCCCTCCACTTCTCCCCGGGCGCTCGCCCACTCCGCCCAGTAGAGGAGAAGGGGACGGCCCGGGCGCCTTACAATCTTCCGTTCTTGTTCTTCTACTTCCGCTCAGCGCTCTAGACCAATACCCAATAGGTATTTGGTGTCTTTTGTTAATTAAAGTCTGACTCATTGTGACCTTGTACTATGACAATGATTACTTGTCCACTCTGCTCCAAAGTAGTTCCTAGGATGGCGAAGGCAATAAAGGCTCACATTGACTGTGATCACGGCAAATGTGGGGACCACTCATTTTGTTGTAAAGCTACTGCCCGTAGTAGATTTTATACAAATTCAAAATCATTTTTGAGTCATATTGATTCTTGTGCGTTTGTCAAAGATCAGACTTCTAATGCAAGTCAAGACATTTCTATTACTAATGCAAGCCAAGATATTTCTGATACAAGTCATGATGTTCCTTTGACTACTGACAATTTAGAGAGTGGCAACAGTGGCACTGGTACTGATATTAATTTTGAAGACTACGTTAAAAACAGATGTGATGATTTTGTCTGTTTTCCACAGTTTGCCTAAAATGCCTAGAAGCTATGTTCTGAATATAATTGATCAAACCAATGATCTAGTCACTAAGTGTTTCAACAACCATTTAAAAGACAAAGTTCTTAACACCTTGAAGCAGTGTGCAGCTAGTAAGGAAGAGATTTGAGATATAGACAAGATGTTTGATTCAATTAATAATTCATTTAGTCATCTAGCAACAGAACATCGGATATTTAAACACTTTACTAGCTGTGGGAAATTTTTCCTCCCTGAAACTCGTGTTTTAGGTAAATCTAGTACCTGTTAAAACTTCTACAGGTATCACTGTGAAACCCAAATTGTTTAAAGTACGAAGTATACCTCTTAAACATGTGTTAAAGGAATTTCTGGAACTTCCTGGATGATTTTCAGCTGTGATTAATTATCTACAGTCCCTTGATACTGAAAATCCACATGTTCTTGAGAACTTTGTACAATGTTCATCGTGGAAAGAAAAACGGCCCAAGTATTCAGATGATGATATTGTTTTTCCATTATTTGTTTACTTTGATGAAGTTCAAAGTAACAACCCATTGGGCTCCCATTGTTAGTTACTCGGAGCAGCTTTGCCTAATCTTCCACCAGAATGCCAGTCAGCTGTTGACAATATTTTGTTGGCGCATCTTTTTGATAATGTGTGCCGTGATCACTATTCAGTTGACGTTGTGTTTGCTGCACTGATTTCTAAATTAACTGCGTTGGAAAATGATGGAACTTTGATTTCAACTCCTGATAGCTGTAAAAGAGTTCACTTTGTCTGTGGGGCTTTACTTGATGACAACAAAGGCCTTAATTCTATATCAGGTTTGGTTGAAGGTTTTACTGCAAACTACTGTTGAAGATTCTGTAAATCTCATAAGAATGTCACTCGTACTCAGTCTGTTTCTGTTGAATACTTTACGTACCAAAGATGATTACAGCAATGATCTAGAAGTTGGTAACGCTCGACTCACTGGAGTGAAATTTGATTCAGCCTTTAATCAAATACCTTCTTTTGAGGTTTCTTCGAACTATGTTGTAGATCGATTTCATGATCTCGGAGACGGAATTTGTCATTATGTTTTATTACATGTTCTGCACACTTGTATCACGAAGTACTTCTCCCTTGATATTTTAAATTCCCGTAATCAATCTGTATTTGATTTTGGTTTGAGTGAATCCAACAAATTTCCTGAAATATCAAGTCTTGACAGAGACAAGCTAAGAATGTCTGGGTCAGAAACGATTTTGTTTGCAAAAATGCTAGGTCTTCTTGTTGGAGATGAACACGTAGAACATGAACATGTGTGGTTCCCGGGTGAAAAAAAACATTGACAGTAAGTTTGTATACAGAGGTATACAAGTAATTGTATAAAGCTGTATAAAGGTTATTGTATTACATTTGGTAAAACTGTATTACTTTGTCAGTATACCTTTTTATAAAATATTATACAATACATACTTGAGCGTTTCAATTTACTCATTGGAGCAGCGGCCTGAGTGTCTGGCTGTCGTTTTCAGCTCATATGTTTTCCGAATCATCTTTTTGCCCTGAGCACGATAGTAGTTGTTTCACTTCCCT